TGTATGTGATGTAAACGTGTACATGTCCTGAGCAGATCTGACCAGAGTTTTGCGTCTTGGGCAGTGTAGACGGAAACACTACGGTGGAGCGTATTCAACTTTTCCACTCCGGAGGGAGGTTTCAGATTTTTTCATTTTTAAGTTCCAAAAACACCGTCACCGTCTAAACGAAAGGCACTTCTGATAAAATATTTTGTCATTTTTGCCCACAAACGTTCTCATGTAAACAGGCCCTAAAGTGTATTCATTATAAATGTTTTAGTAGCACGTATTCTGTGTTTTGTTTTGGTTTTTTGGTGTTTTTTGTAGGTCTTGTTTTCTTGTTTTTGGTTTGTCTCTTTTCTCTTCCTTTTTTTTTTTTTTTTTTTTTAAAGGTGTGTACATGTAAACTGTTAACGCTGTCTATTGGCCCAGGACACTGAAGCATCTCTATGTAAACTGTCTTTTATATTTTGAAAAAGCTTAAATAAAGTGTATTCACCGCAGCTCATGTTTTCTTTAATGGTGAATTGTGTCACTTGCATTGCTTTGTCTTAAATTTCTACTTTGTTTCAAGGCCGCGTTTATATGATTCAGTCTGAACAGAAGACGCAAAAGTGGCGTCGCGTCTTCACTTTTTATTCCGCATTTAGACGAGTGTTTTCAAGAGTAAATCTGCTGCATACTGCGACGCAAATGTGTGTGGAATTTGATTGTGTTTGCATGCCAGGTTTCTGTGTACTGTATGTACCTGATGTAAACGTGTACGCGACATGAGCAGATCTGACCAGAGTTTTGCGTCTTGGGCAGTGTAGATGGAAACACTACGACGGAGGTTTCAGATGTTTGCGTTTTTAAGCCCTAAAAACGCCGTCACCGTCTAAACCAGGGGTCAAACTCAAATTCACAGAGGCCAAAATTAAAAACTGGAACTAAGTCGTGGGCCAAACTAAATATTTACTGAAAAATTTCATCAACATCTGCAAATTAAAATAAATCTTGAATAATAATTTTGCTTAAACATTGAATCCAGAACAAGCAAAATATAAAATAGTAACAACATTTTAAATCAATAATGTCTCTAGAGTGGATCTGTAGCCGGCGGGCAGCTTTAAAACATGTTTGATATGATCTCACGGGCCAAATTTGGCTCCCGGGCCTGAGTTTGACATGTCTGGTCTAAACGAAAGACACTTCCCATAAAATATTTTGGCATTTTTACACGCAAACGTTCTCGTGTCAACAAGCCCTAAAGTGTATTCATTATAAATGTTTTAGTAGCACATATTCTATGTTTTGTTTTTTTGGTTTATCTGTTTTCTCTTCCTTTTTTTTTTTTTTTTTTTTTTTTTTTAAAGGTGTGTACATTGTAAACTGTTTACGCTGTATATTGGCCCAGGACACTGCTCATCTCTATGTAAACTGTCTTTTATATTTTGAAAAAGCTTAAATAAAGTGTATTCACTGTAGTGTTTTTTTAAAGGTGATTTGCGTCACTTGCATTGCTTTATCTCGAGTGTTTCACAGTATGTCATTAAATTTCTACTTTCTTTCAAGGCCGCGTTTATATGATTCAGTCTGAACAGAAGACGCAAAAGTGGTGTCGCGTCTTCATTTTTTACTCCGCGTTTAGACGAGTGTTTTCAGGAGGAAATCTGCGTGCATACTGCGACGCAAAAATGCAAAAGTGCAAAATTCGATTGTGTTCGCATGCCAGGTTTCTGTGTACTGTTTGTATGTGACGTAAACGCGTATGCGACCTGAGCAGATCTGACCAGAGTTTTGCGTCTTGGGCAGTGTAGACGGAAACACTACGGCGGAGCGTATTCCACTTTTCCACTTTAGAGGGCGGTCTCAGATTTTAGCGTTTTTAAGCCTCAAAAACGCCGTCACCGTCTAAACGAAAGACACTTCCTATAAAATATTTTGTCATTTTTACCCACAAACGTTCTCATGTAAACAGGCACCTATTCTCTGTTTTTTGTTTTTTTTTTTTGCTGTTTTTTTGTAGGTCTCGTTTTCTTATTTTTGGTTTCTCTCTTTTCTCTTTATATTTTGAAAAAGCGTAAATAAATCATACATAATAAACGTGTATAAAAGTATATTCATTGCAGCTCATGTATTGCGTCTTTTGCATTGCTTTGCCTCAAATGTTTCACAGTTCGGCGTTAAAATTTCTACTTTCTATCTTCACAGAGACCAAACCGGACCAAGTAACAGGTCAGATCTGCGGAGAGGCGACGCCGCTCACAGTCAGAACGCCTTTGTTTTTGTTTTTCTAGGTATTTTTGAGCCATAAAACCACCTGTAACTGAATAAATGTAACTTAGAGCTGTTGCACCTTTAACAATATTGTACATTTAGAATAGTTTTTGTGTTTTAGTTTCAGTTTTATCGTTTATATCGTCTTGATTTTATTATTTTTTTTAATCATGACAGACCTGATTAACTGTACACATTTATAAACAGTGACATAATTTTTTTGAACACACTATCTCGTCTTAGTTTGCAGTAGCAGTTGGCCTCAAAAATGTCACTCGGCCACATAACATTCTCCTCCGGTCGTATCTAAAGCGATCAGACCTTTCACTATCACAGACCGCGGGAAATATGTCATTTCTATTCATGGACCTTCTCCTAACTGCCGAGTGTTTCCAGTTTAGAATAAAATGAAGTCAGTCGATATAAACATATAACCTGTGCGATGAGAGGTCACCAAAGATGTCAAGAGTAAGAATAATATTTCAGGTTACAGATAGGGTTGATAAAAGTATAAAAATGTAGATACTAATCCCCAGACTAGAGCCTAATTTTTAGATCGACAGACTCATTGAGAGGAGAGAAATGAAGCTTTAGAATGATCTGGAACTGTAACAGAACAAGTAAAAGAGCACATGGACGAGTATACGCCCATGGACCTGGTTTAGTCCTTGTTTAGACCTGGTTTGGACCTGGTTTGGACCTGGTTTGGGACCTGGTTTGGACCTTGGTTGGGACCTGGTTTGGACCTGGTTTGGACCAGATTTAGGCCTGGTTTGGACCTGGTTTAGGCCTGGTTTAGGCCTGGTTTAGGCCTGGTTTAGGCCTGGTTTAGGCCTGGTTTGGACCTGGGTTCGACCTGATTTCGACATGGTTTGGACTTGGTTTAGACCTGATTTAGACCTGGTTTAGACCTGGTTTAGACCTGGTTTAGACCTGGTTAAGACCTGGTTAAGGCCTGGTTTAGGCCTGGTTTAGGCCTGGTTTAGGCCTGGTTTAGGCCTGGTTTGGACCTGGTTTAGGCCTGATTTAGACCTGATTTAGACCTGGTTAAGACCTGGTCAAGACCTGGTCAAGACCTGGTTAAGGCCTGGTTTAGGCCTGGTTTGGACCTGGGTTCGACCTGATTTCGACATGGTTTGGACTTGGTTTAGACCTGATTTAGACCTGGTTTGGACCTGGTTTAGGCCTGATTTAGACCTGATTTAGACCTGACCTGATTTAGACCTGGTTAAGACCTGGTTTGGACCTGGACCACTGAGGGATTACACACTTAAAAGGCCACATGGGAATAGAAAAGAAAGTACTACCATTTCAAGTGGAAAAATCACAATATATTGTCTAAATAAAGTGTTTGTTTTTTATTATTAGTATATTATTATTATTAATATTGATGTCTATTCCTTAATATCAAAATCAAATTGCTATTTTACTTTATTTTCATTTGTAATTACTTTATTTTACTTTGATTTACTTACTACTGTGACAACCCCAGGTACAGGTCATCAAGGTAAAATATTAGTAGTAGTAGTAGTAGTAGTAGTAGTAGTAATAGTTGCAATATTTGTAATATTTTTAACATACTTCCAATTGACAACACCCCTCTCTTACAGCAATTATTTTTTTCCAAGCTTTTCCTTTCAGATTTTATCATCACAGAATGAGCAGCTATACTAAAAGTTTCCAATAATATTTAACCACAAATCTTAGCCTGAAGCATTTTCCAAGTAAAATGTGCATAATATTAACCAGCCGTCTTGTTTATATTACGAGCTGTTATGTAATGAGAACCAACTTGTCCATTTTAGCTTCGACAAATGCTTAAAAATCTTTGAAAAGCTACAACATTTCTCGTAAGATAAGGAGTATAAGTAGTAGTAGTAGTAGTAGTTCAGTATAAAACCCTACTTATTGTATTTATTCGTATATATTTTGATATACTCCTCTCTATTACCAATTATAGCGTAGTTAGACTAAACAATTTAAAGTTTAATGTGATAAGATACTCGTAATAAAACCATAAAACGCTGTAAAAAGCCGATCCTGTAAGATTTTGTTATAGAATGAGCAGCTATATTTAACGTTTTTAATTATATTTAACCACGTATCTTAGCCTGAAACTGTTTACAAGTGAGATTAGCATAATATCAACCAACTATTTTATTTAGAATGACCAGATTTATAAAATTCTAAACTGAAATTATGAAAAAAGCGTGTAACTTTGTGCATTTTTGTGTCATACTGAGAGGGACTTCCTTTGCTGCATTATTTGCAAACACGGATTTCTGTTTTTTGGCTCAACAAATGATAATTTATGTTTCTCTTTAGTGTTTGCAGGGATCAGATTAGTCAAAAATTGTAGTTATAGTCATGTTTTAGACTCAGTTTCGTCTTGGTTTAGGTCACATTGGTCCAAAATAGGGACACTTTGGACATTTTTTGTATAAAACTTGGACAAATCAGTGTTTTTGGATCAATCTGGGCTCAAAACTGGGACTGTCTTGAGTAAATATTGGACGTCAGGTCACCGTAATTTTATTTACATTATAAGATGTCATGTAATGCTGTCGATTTTAGCTTAGATAGCATGCTTTAAAATCTTCGTACATGGCAATTACTTTAGTATTTAGTGATATTGTTTTGAATTACAGCATTGCCACGTGTTTTACTGATTAGACAACGAAGCCAGCACTTTTAAAAAAACGTAAAGAATGAATGGCATCGTTAGCTAAGCCTTCACGTAATAGGCGTCTCCGCTTCACCTGTTGTTGTTGCTCCAAAATCCTGAGGTATCTCCGCGTAGCTTGGTCCACTAAGTCCTTCACGGTCCACCCGGCTTTACACGGAACCACCACGGCGGTATTCCCGAAGTTTACCGTCACTTTCATGGTCCCGAAATCCAAAATAAAGCGCTAAAAATGAGAAAAATCCGCGGAGTTTCGGTAGTTTGTCCTTCCGGCTCGCTGTAGCGGCAGCAGCACCTGCACGTCGAAGCGGCAGGTGTCAAATCACGTCCGAAAAACACGTATTTACGCCACGAAAATGAAAGTATTCGGCGTGAAGTCCAGCGCTGACATGTTGACAGTAAAGAAATAGTCCCAAACGATGTGGAAATGTGGTGAAAAGTCGGTTGTTAGCGCAGAAAACGGCGAGTTTCTCCTGACATCTTGTACGTGCGAAGGTCCGCCCAATCAAAACAAAGCGACGGAGGAACCCGGAAGTAAGTCATCAGGGCGCGTTTTCTTTTTTTTTTTTTTTTTTTTTTTCATGGAACAGTAATGAGACCGTAATTAAGTTATTAAGTTACATCGCTTACTCACCTTTGTGTGACTCATGCGTCTATTTACACCAGGTTATTTTAAAACCGTTTAAATAATTGCCACTAAATGTAAATACGATTTATATATATCTAATTTATATAAGAAAATTACATATATATTAGAAAAGAAATCATTTTAAAAGCAATTATCTTGAAAACTACCAAGTCGAGCTCAAAGAAATTTAACAGTTAAGGTTCTGAACATTATAAGTTCATTATGGGACTAAAAATTTGACATAATTTTAAAAGTAATTATCTTAAAAACTACAAAGTGTAGCTCAGTGATGATGTTGATGTTGGTCTAACACAAGAATGTCAAACTCATTTTGGTCCAAGGGCCGTATCCAACCGACTTTGATCCCAAATAAATTAAAATATTTGTGCAGAGAAACACAAATCGATGACAGAAATCTTTTTTAATTGATGAACTCTTTCTTTTACAAAATATTATAATATTATGAACAACCTGAAACTTTAAGAAAAAGCAATTTCAACACAATGTTTTAACATGAACTTGTCTGTAAACAGGAATAAGTCCATTTTTGTTGTAAAATCCTGCACTCGGCTCCACTTTTCTCATGTTGGACATTTTTCTGATGAGGGTGTCACGGTCAACAGTCAAAACGATCGTCCTTTAAGAGCGTTTGGAAAGAGACAAGTCTTCATTTGTGCTGCTCTGGTGGGAGGGGCCACGTACAGAGACGCTGGAGACGCTGCTGTGATAAACACCACAGAAAATTAACACGATTTTAATAGAAAATATAATTACAATATTTTAGTAGAAAATCAGCCGAGGGCCAGATTAAAGGTCTTGGAGGGCCGGATCCAGCCCCCGGGCCGTATGTTTGACACCCTGGTCTACCAGATCCTTTAGTCCTACATAAACAGCTGAACTCTTTACATTTTTGGTACCAAGTCCAAATTTGTTTTGCTGTTGGTGAAGTTTTTCCAAATTTTGCATTAAAGGCTGCACAGTCTTGAGTGTTTGTGAGTGTTGTGTTGTGATTCCAAGACACAAATGTCTTCTCTTTGGGATAATTAATGGCTCAACCTGAAAACAAAACAAAAATAAAACATTAAATATAAAATCTTGATCAGTTTCTAAATATTCTGTGAAAATTTGAGGTTATTTCAACAAGAATTGCCGAAATTATTGCCCTCCGAAAATACATTTTTAGGGACACCCTGTATATTTAACTGGGAATTATCAGTGTATTTACATTTAAAATATCCTAAAGTTTAAGAGTTATTAACTAGATACGTTATGATGAAGGAGAAATTCAGTTGTAGACTTTTTTTTATTAATTATTTTATATTTATCTTGATTTTTATCTTTTTTTGATTATTTCCTGTGAGTGTAGCCTTATATCCACTGTTGGGGAGTAACAGATTACATGTACCAGAGTTAAGTAATCAGAGTACAAATGATGAGTAACTGTATTCAGTTACAGTTACTGTTTCAGTGAGTGGTAATTGGATTACAGTTACTTTCTTGAAATAAATGGATTACACAGAGGGATTTTCCTGTTTTCACATTTTGGGCCATATCCCTTTTTTTTTTTTTTTTTTTTTTTTTTTGTCTGGAAATTCCACTCATTGCCGGACAATAAAACCAGGTCCAAACCAGTTCTAAACCTGGTCTAAAACCAGGTCTAAACCAGGACTAAACCAGGTCTAAAACCAGGTCTAAACCAGGACTAAACCAGGTCTAAAACCAGGTCTAAACCAGGACTAAACCAGGTCTAAAACCAGGTCTAAAACCAGGACTAAAACAGGACTAAAACCAGGTCTAAACCAGGACTAAACCAGGTCTAAACCAGGACTAAAACAGGACTAAAACCAGGTCTAAACCAGGACTAAACCAGGACCTAAATTCAGGACTAAAAAACCAGGACTAAACCAGGTCTAAACCAGGACTAAAACCAGGACTAAACCAGGTCTAAAACCAGGTCTAAACCAAGACTAAACCAGGTCTAAAACAGGATTTAACAGGACTAAACCAGGACTAAAACCAGGACTAAACCAGGTCTAAAACAGGATTTAACAGGACTAAACCAGGACTAAACCAGGTCTAAAACCAGGACTAAAACCAGGACTAAACCAGGTCTAAAAACCAGAACTAAAACCAGTTCTAAACCAGGACTAAACCAGGTCTAAACCAGGATTTAACAGGACTAAACCATGCTGCATGGACCGTGTCTCCACTTCTTTTATCAATAAAATTTTTTAATTTGGTTCAGTAAAGTTTGGCCTTTTCATTTTCTTTTATCAGATAAAACATTTTATGTGAAGATTTCCTCGTCTTTGCTTCTCTACAGCAAATCAAGTTACTCACTCATTCCTCACTTTAAGTAATTTAATGGATTACGTTACAAACTACATTTTGGTGTGTGTAATCTGTAATCTGTAGGGGATTACATTCCAACACTGTTTATATATTGTACAACATAACAATATAATTTAGAAAGTTAAGTTGCTTTTTCCAATAATTTTTTATGTTATTATGTTCTTTTTTCAGAGCAGGAGTTTGTGTCGGCTGCTCACTCGCCGTGAAACAAAAACAAAACAAAACCTTGGTCTGAAAAAAGAACCTAATACATAATTTAGAAAGTTACAATAAAAAAAGCCTGTATTTAATCTTTTTTTTATAACTTTTTTTGTAACTAGTGCTTAATAAATGCATAAATTTGAGACATTTTACCACTTGAATTTAATATTTCTTTAGTTTTAACTCGTGATTCCAGGTTAAATATTTAGTTCTGGCCTTTATTTATTGACTAAATCGCGGTGATCAAGATTTACTCGCCGTTTCTCCATCGCACGTTTAATCTGTTCCCATCTTTTTCTATCTCAATCTCGTCGACTGTGCGTGCGAGCTGTCGGCTTCAATTACCCGACTAAATAAACGAGCCTCTGACCTGACGACGCCACACACGGATAATATGCAAATCAGCCGCCGTGTTATTTTCATATCTTGTCATCGCGTCCAGAGTAAAGCATCTCTATTGAAATTAATGTCCGCCGACGCGTTATTGTTGGGGGGGGGGGGGTCTCCTCTCAAATCAGAACGTTGGAAAAAACTCCGGCGGCAGATGCGGTTTTAATTGCAATCATTTCTGTCCGTATTTGGAGTCGCGAGAACAATAAAACGTTTTGATTTGGAAAGCCGGTAAACAAAACAACTGGTTTACACAGAATGATGAGGAGATAAGCTGGTTTAATCTTCATTTTATCTTCAGAATAGAGATTGCGTAATGTTTTTTCCATTTTATTCTATATTCCACTGCAGCGATAAAGGCAGATATCTTATATAGATATCTTAAAAAAAACAAGATTATCCCAGTGAACCGTTTTTAAATAGACAGTATCATTTAAAACAGACCTGGGTATTGTCCTACGGAAGCCGAGAGGGGTCGCAACAAACACAACAAAAAGCCACAACGCACCAAAAAAAAAGCCACAACGCACCAAAAAAAAGCCACAACGCACCAAAAAAAGCCACAACGGAAATGACCGCGGGACTCTATTTTAATGCAAACGCCTCAACAAAATACAAACGCCACAACACAAACGCAAATGCCACAAAACATCAAAAAGCCACAAAAAAAGCCACAAACACATTAAAAAGCCAGATCTAGTTTAGACCTAGTTTAGACCTGATTTTGTCCTGGTTTAGTCCTGTTAAATCCTGTTAAATCCTGTTTTAGTCCTGATTTAGTCCTGATTTAGTCCTGGTTTAGTCCTGGTTTAGACCTGGTTTAGACCTGGTTTAGATCTAGTTTAGACCTAGTTTAGACCTGATTTAGTCCTGGTTTAGACCTGGTTTAGATCTGGTTTAGATCTAGTTTAGACCTGATTTAGTCCTGGTTTAGTCCTGGTTTAGACCTTTTTCAGACCTGTTTTAGACCTGGTTTAGATCTAGTTTAGATCTAGTTTAGACCTAGATTTAGACTTGGTTTTAGTCCTGGTTTAGTCCTGTTAAATCCTGTTAAATCCTGTTTTAGTCCTGGTTTAGTCCTGTTAAATCCTGTTAAATCCTGTTTTAGACCTGGTTTAGATCTAGTTTAGATCTAGTTTAGACCTAGATTAGACCTAGATTAGACTTGGTTTTAGTCCTGGTTTAGTCCTGGTTTAGCCCAAAATGTGAAAACAGGAAAATCCCTCTGTGTAATCCATTTATTTCAACAAAGTAACTGTAATCCAATTCCCACTCACTGAAACAGTAACTGTAACTGAATACAGTTACTCATCATTTGTACTCTGCAATCATTTCTGTCCGTATTTGGAGTCGTGAGAACAATAAAACGCCGCTTCGTTTTGATTTCGAAAGCCGGTAAACAAAACAACTGGTTTACACAGAATGATGAGGAGATAAGCTGGTTTAATCTTCATTTTATCTTCAGAATAGAGATTGCGTAATGTTTTTTCCATTTTATTCTATATTCCACTGCAGCGATAAAGGCAGATATATATATATATATATATATATGTCAACAAGGACGTTTTAGTTGTGAATGCGACATGATAGTATTGAGATTTTGACGTCATTGTGCATAGACTGTGTGTTTTTTAAAGCGATAAAAAAAAAATGTGAAGCTTGATTTGTGCAGAGGCAGAGCTACAGACGTGTACAGAGATAAACAATTTTAAAAAAACAAGATTATCCCAGTGAACCGTTTTTAAATAGACAGTATCATTTAAAACAGACCTGGGTATTGTCCTACGGAAGCCGAGAGGGGTCGCAAACAAAACACAAAACAAAAAGCCACAACGCACCAAAAAAAAGCCACAACGCAAAAAAAAAAAAAAGCCACAACGGAAATGACCGCGGGACTCTATTTTAATGCAAACGCCTCAACAAACACAAACGCCACAACACAA